GTGGGGGTACACAGGTACACATGTAAGTGGTCAGCGCTACTTTCCCTCTCCTCTCCTCTTCCCCGGGAGTTTACCGATGGGATAAGGAGCAGCGACCGGTGAGCCTTTCCGCGGGATGAGGCAGTGACAATTGGAGGTTGGTGACAAGGGGCTCCGGTGGTCCACGATGAGCTCCCCATCTTCTCCCGCAGATCATCCTCCGCCATAGCTTTTATCGCCGATTTGGTCATCGATGCTGGTAGGGTGACTAGCTGCAGCCACAACGCAGCGATAGTGGCCGGACATCGACATCGATGGCTTGGGGCCCTCCTGCCACTAAGCCACGGCAAGTCACCAACTTCGGCTCCTAGACTCCGTTGACCCCATTGTCAGCTGCCATTGATGGAAGCAAGAGATCATGAAGCTTGCAAGCGCAATCCATGGCTGAGAGATGAGTAGAGTACACAAAGGGCCTCTAGATTCTCGACGGGGTTGGCACAATGAGAGGTGCCTAGCTCCTCCGACTCGTACTCATCAAGAAGACACAGTCTGATTTCTCGATGAGCTCCAGATATGTCCTTCATCACGACTACAACCTCCTTCTCTTGCCATCCTTCTGCTTCCTCTTCCTCTTCCTCCTCCTCCATTGCCAAGGAAGCCATACTCCCACTGGATACAAACCTAACCCTGCACTTCAACATAAGGCGCGGATGCGGCTTCCCTGAGCTGCATACGGAGAAAAACAAGTTGGCTACGGCAAAAGAGCTCTACAGGATAGACAAGCTGTTGGTGCGATGAGCCGAAGCACGAGGCCTAGCTCCATGGCTGGTGCAAGCGAGAGGGGGTAAGAGATTAATGGGACGAGCATAAGTGACTCATCATGCTGAGAAGTGGGCCCGGATATCTACCACGTAAGAAAAACAGGAACAAATGGGGTCCATGGGACATGAGTTATGAGGTTTTGTAAAATTTAGGGGGTGAAGACTTCGGGTTTTGGGGAGGGATGTCAATGAGACTCAATGTAAAGTCTAGGGAAGTTAAGTGGACTTATTATTTCATATTAGATGTCCTAGGACCCAGCCAGGAATTTGATCTTGACGGTCCTATAACCCAACCCATCCATCAGAAAATACAGAGAAAATTTGATCTTAAAATCCGGCCGATACATGTGGGATGGCCTGAGATTTAGCCCAAGCTGAGTAAGGCCTTTGCCAGAGGAAAACTTTCCTGCCGATAAAGCCCAATCCTCTTGGAATAGCTGTAATATAGCTCAACATGGGTCTTATTTGGATCCTCCAAGCTATTAAATATCCCTCCAGAATCTTGTTATTTAAGAGTATTAAACGTAAATTACCGATAAAACCGATTCCATAACCCCTAGCCTATTTTGCGAGACGAATCTAATGATGTATATTAATCCATAATTAGCGGCTGATTAATGTAGCATCTCTGTAGTAAATCATGGATTAATATACCTCGTTAGATTCGTCTCGCAAAATAGCCTCGGGGTTATGGAATGGGTTTTGGCAGCAATCTACGTTTAATACTCTTAAATACCAAGATTCCGTAAATAGCCCTCCGGATCCAAACAGGGCCATGGACAGGGCTTCTTGTTCTTGGGGACAGTCTCTGTTTATCTCTCTGAAGCCTTCAGACTTCAGTGGACATTATCTAGTCTTTCTTTAATCAGCTTGTAGGGCAGATACAGCGGCCCAACTCTGCAAATTAATGTTTTACTTTTTTTAGCAGTATATATGCAGGCCCTCACAGCGTGGGCCGGTATATTTTATGATTGACAAAGTTACTATGGATATCTCACTGGCATTGGAAAAAATATTTAACCACTTTGTGTCAGGCTGGTTCAACTATAAGAAACCTAATCGGTTAAGCTACTCTCACTTTGTACAAATTAATGTGTTATAATGGCCGTAAACCGTTCAGCATTGATCACTCACAAAAACATTTCTCTGGTAGTCTGTTTGCCAAGGAAGAAAAATTTTCTGATTAAGAATTTTCATGAAGGTTTTGGGTAGGGCATGTTTGGATCCCAGGCAAGGGCTATTCTTTAGCCTAGACGAGCGAGAAGAGGTGTTTAGTAACATAAAAAAAATGTTTAATTGGATTCATTGCCATTACAAAGAAGGGACAATTTGAACCGACCTTATTTGTAAACACTAAGATTTAACTAAAAATCCGCACTAAGGATGCATCCAGCAATTTACGACTATCCCAATGTTGCTTCCTACTTGATTCCACAATTTATTCTTTGCAAAATGCATCCAACTTACTAGGAACAATATGCGACCAACACAAGCTGAGTCTCACGACATTTTTTTTACGATACTTTGCTACCATTAATAATTTAATACTATTATTAGCGACAGGAAAGCTAAGAAAAATTCAGATGCAACAGCGCAATGCGTACAAATTAAAGCTAAATCATTCAGTGCCCCGTAGTGATCAACTGAGGCTGAGTTCGGAACCCACGGTTCTAACTCCCTTTCTCGTTTTCCGCACGCACGTTTTTCAAGCTGCTAAATGGTATATTTTTTATAAAAAGTTTATATACGAAACTTTAAAAAATCATATTAATCTATTTTTAAAAAATAGCAAATACTTAATTAATCATGCGCTAATGGTCGCTCCGTTTTCTGTGCGGACATGTTGTGTTGGGAAATCAAGGTTAATTGGCAAAAGGAAATCAGTTTTGCTTTGTTCATAAGAGCACCTGCAATGGTAAAGTAAGTTACTCTCTATAAAACATGTACATCTCAGCAATAGACTAGATTAATAGTAAACCACCTCAATAGTATGTCTACATGGGTATCTATAGCTCTCTAATCTATTGTCTCATTTTTCTCTATAGACTATCTCCAGGTTAGTAGATAGCTTTCTCTCTCGCTTCATTTAATCTTTTTCAAGTAGGAAAATATGCTGACATGTATCTCTTGTATAGAGCCTATAGATAACCATTGTAGGTGCCCTAATTGCGCTCTTGGTTGTTGTCTTCCACTCTGTTCTATCACCGTGTCCATGCATGTGTTAGGGCATTCCCAACCCTCCACTTAGAATGGTGTCTATGGCATTAACTACATTGTCATGTAGGACTTTTAGCTTATGTGGCACTATATTAATTAAGAGAGAGAGTGAAGAGAGGAAGAAACTGGGTCTCATGCTAGACACAGTTTCAATACGAGAACCTATGCACTAGACACTATCGAGTTTTGCATTGGGAGAGAATAGTGTCTTTATAATAGATGAAGAATAATTATGATTGGTATAGAAGAGAGATTTTGTATTTATTAATGGCCCACTTTAAGAAACTATGGGTTGTAGAGTGTAGTTTCTATTGTGATGTCTTATTGTCATGGCACTATGGGTTAGGACTGCCCTTATGTGTACATGCCGGTTGCTGTTGCTGTCTACCTTTACTGCATAAACACGAATATTGGCAAGTACTATTACATAAAGGATAGAGTGCTCTTGCGTCACAAAAGAAAAAAAGGAAAAAAAAAAGAGAAAAGGTTGCCATACACAAGAAAACAAGTTGTTCGAGTGCTGACTGCTGAGCGTCGTGTCGACCTATATACGCCCATCTCTATATGCATCTCTGTTATTACTTAAGTAGATGATTTCGCAACTCAAAACTATGAAAGTATATTTGATATGTTCCCTGTGTTTAAGAAACATTTGATTTTCATGCTGATCGAAGTTCGTGACAATCTGACGAAGGGAACTTATCCTTGACAAAAGTAAGCATGACTACACTATAATATGATCTCATACACTCGTTAAGAAAAACTATTAATTAACTAATGCCACATCATGGCTCATGAGAACATAAATATATGCATGTTGGCTGTAATGGGCTCTGATGATCTGTCCTCACCATATCCTTGGAGTAAAATCTCCAGCTACGTACCACAAGTACTAAAGTTTTGAACTTTTAATTCTTAGCCCTTGTTTAGTTCTAAACTTTTTATTAAAACTTCTAACTTTTCCAGCACATTAAAACTTTTCTATACACATAAACTTTCAACTTTTCTATCACATCGTTCCAATTTCAACCAAACTTTCAATTTTAGCATCAACTGTTCAGTCATGGTAAAGATCATTGGGTACTTCATCCTCTTGAGGCTCAAATGGTTCTGACAGAAGTACTAGTCAGTATTCACGCATACCAAGCATATTCTCTTTGTTTGTTCGGACAGTTTTTCCCTCGCCAATTACTGAACTTCCTCATTTCCTCATGTATTAGGATGGATTGTGCCTACATCATTAATTACTTTTCTTGTAACTACTTGTAATCTTCCAGAACATTACCCATGAATTAGGTTGGCCTTAATATTTACATTGGCATGTACATTCAGAACATGTAATGGAATCAAAACATTACTAAATATAACAGGTCACTACTGGAGAGGGCGAATCTCCCTAGTGCCAAAAACACACAGCAACAGAGGAAAAACACCCGGGAATCAATGTTGCCATGTGCCTCACTCCGGAATCATCACCCGGGAGTGATTTCTCCTTGGAGAGGGCAAATCTCCCTAGTGCCAAAAACACACAGCAACAGAGGAAAAACACCCGGGAATCAATGTTGCCATGTGCCTCACTCCGGAATCATCACCCGAGAGTGATTTCTCCTTCCCGTGCATAGATGCTGGGTGTATGTGGAGAAAACACTCTGCAAACAGCCACATGTTACCGAGTTTCTCAAAGCACTAGGTAACATCCTAACCATGCCGTTCCACAGATTGGGACGGCAACAGGTAACGGTAGCGGAACGGAAACAGTGACATTTGCATAGTGCAAAAAAAACTCGGTAAGACTTTTCAGTTACCGGGAGGTGATGCAAGCTAGCACTCCGCAAGAGTTCCTAGGTTACCGAGTGTAGCTGGTATCAACACCTTGAAAGCTTGCTATACATAGAGTGCAAATTAATACCAGTCTATAAATACATTTATATTAGCTGCAGCAGAATAGTAGCATCCAAATCAAACATCATAGGCCATCACACATCGACACAAAATAATGGATTGAAATGCATAGATATCCATGTTCAGTTAATCGATTTGATGACTGTAGTACATGGAACAAGCGAAGATACCAATATAAGAAACAGCTACAATTGAGATGAAATTGAACATTACTAACTATGCCTACATGCTTGGGCAACCAAAAAGTCGTGATAACCCCTCTGACGATTAGCAAATAAGCCAGCTGACTAGGAGACCCTGAGACTGCATAAAAAAGTATATCAGTGATGACAGTTGTACATGTATAATAGCACTAACAAAAACATAGTGACCCTGAGACCCTGAGCAACTGGGCTTCACATCAAAGCACTTTCATGTGTTGTACAAAAACATAGTGATGACAGTTGTACATAATAGCACTAGCAAAAACATAGTATGAATGATCTATGCAAGTTGGAAACAAGGTAATCAGAATTTAATAAAAAAATTCTTCAAGATAGAATTTAATCAAAAAATTCTTCAAGATTGTATATGCTTGTTACAAATTAATATATAGGTACAATGACTGGCCGGTGAGATTTTTTTTTTTGACACATGAAGAAGCAGTAAGCACCCAAGTGCCCAGGCATTACAACCAAATCCAAATAAATGATTAAGCATAGCATGTTCCAAGTGGAGAAGTTATATATATAACTAACATTTACTTGGCAGAATGTCCTGCTCCCAGTATATAATACTCAATCAGGTTTCAGTAATAAAATAGTGATTATTATCCCACTTGAAACAATTCTCATTCATCTATATAAAACTTACCATAGCATGAACAATTCAATTGGTTCATACAAAAATTGGAAACCATTTAGTCAGATCAAAAGAGTTCAAAATTAGCGTAGCAAGTGCCAATATTTGGAAATATTCTAGTTTTCACTCTTATTGGGTCTCACTATTGTTGGCAGTTTTAAGTTACTGGTTAGACTCGTAATTTTTTGTTTCATTTCTATTAATAAAATTTAAACTGTGGGGAACTCCCTGCAGTGATTGGGTCAAAAAAAAATATTGTGATATCATAACTAAACTTGAACCATTAATCTAGCCATAGAAAAAATGGATTAATAGAGAACCATTAATCTTCCTGAGAATCAGGTGCGCGAGAGCTTACAATCCAGGAGAGTATCTGATGGCACTGGTGCAAATCAGCTCCCTCTAGCTGCTAGCAAATTAAAAGAATATCTACAGAAATGATGAGGTCTGATTTAGAAACACAAATCCATTGGACACTAGGAAGCACCTTTTTGTTTAAAAAATCCTATAACTAGCAGAAGAATGCAATCTTCATTTGCCATTATTATTACATGATACTCCTAAAAAAATAAGTTTACAACTTCAGGGGGGACATTTAAGATTAACCTAGTGGCAGTTGGCATAGCAGGGGCATAAACAATGATGGCCTACCTCATCACTCTCCAATATTGAACCTGTACTTGTATATGCATATATACAGAAAACAAGACATGATATTTTACAATGAAATGGTTCACACATCTGTAAGACATCTACCTCTACTGAACCAAAATTTGGGGTGTACCTCAACTGTCTTGGATCAAATCAGTAGAAAATGAATAGAACAAGTAAAAGAGTTATGCTTCCTTCAAATCTAAGTTTGAATATTTCTTTGATACATCTGTAGAACTCAGTTGTATCGTTGTTTTCTCCCTGTTCTATTGTCACTAAAGCCACTATTTAGTTTGTGTAACTAATAAGATTGGTCTTACTTCGCCTCTCCTTCTCATGTTTATCTGTTCAGAAACGTTACCCATTTATGTCATATGTACTATAAACGTGACCCTTTAGCTACTTGCTTCAAATTAGCACACATATATAGTCGTGTCCATGCGACTTTACATGTCAAGATATAGCATATGCATTAAGCATGCAGTGATCAACAAACATAATGCAGGAGGGCAATTAAGAAGTGTGAAATTACCTGCTGGTAGAACCAAGCCACAAAATTAGGACGTCCATGCCAAGCACCATTTCATAGAACTAGGTTTTGTTTGTCTGTTATATTTGACTCACCTCGTCTCTTCCACTCCTTGCCTATATTTTTTCTATATTGAAATAGAAAACATAATGCATGTCAGCAAAAGGAAAAAAAAAGATTGCCATGATTACATGATATAAAAAAATTATCCCTTCTAAAGCTATTTTTATTGTGCATATCTCTGAATGTTATGCAGCAAGACTCTGAGCTTTTTACCATCAAGAAAAATTGAGTATCTGACACAAGTTATATAGTGCATCTTTATAATCCCAAAGCACCATGCCGCCAACTGTTATAAAGGACCATCTCGTCCTCTGTAACTAATCAAACATGCCACAGAATTCCTGATGAATAACTACAAAGTACTATGGTGATATACAGAAAGCTACAACAAACAGCTCGTGAGAATGGATATTTGATAAAAGTAACTCAGCTGCAAAGGAACAGAAAATGTGGCTACAAATTAATGCAAATCACATAATATAGGACATTGGCGCACACTGATGCTATAGCTAGCATACTCTCGTGGCCACGAAGGAGCTGGATGGCGTGCCCAAGACGAGCGTGGAGCGCACTGGTCCAACGCGTCGGTAGCGCACGGATTCTCCTCTTGGAGACTTGGAGCCCGGTAGGGAGGGCGGCCATGGCAGCTGCCGTGGCGTGCGAACGCGTTCAGAACCCCACACTCAGGCCCGAGGACTCGAGCATGCTGCCGCCGCCAGCATTGGATCTGGCCGGGACGGTCTCCCTTGTACTCCCACCATGCTTGTCCGTTGCGCTAGGAGCTGCATCCAGTGGCCCCGAGCTCAAGGGCGCCGGATCTGGACGTCCCGAGCTCAAAAGAACCGGATCTGGCTATCCTGAGCTTGCACCGAACAAATCAAAGGATGAAGGAAAGAGATCGATAGGGTGGCGGCAGTGGCAGTAATGGGGACATGAGAGTGAGGTGGAGAAGGAAGAGGAGGCGGTGGTGGCACTGTGCTCGGGAGTGGGAGTGGGAGTGGGAGGGTGGACGATGGTTCAGGAGAGGAGGGTGGAGGCGATGCTGCCGCCGTTGACTCGCCGGAGAGGGGATGGTGAAGGCGGCCCACTGGGAGAGTAGGGGAGGGGCGGCGGTGGAGGGGAGGAATGGACTAGGGATTGCGGTGAAGTGTTGAATATATATGGATTCAGCTAATAGATCTGAGCCATTTGATTTAGATCCAATGGAGTTTAATAAGACACCACAACCACCCCGCGCCGTTACATCTTCGCTATATTCCCGTTCGCCATCATTCACCCTAACGGAAATCGATATTTTGATGGATGCCGTATGAACTTCCGTAGCTTGGTAGGAGAACACCCCGTAATCCTTTCGATTGCCTAGTGTAACAAATTAACAAACGGTAACGTATTTATTTACATAGTGTCCCTTTCAATCGCTAGGTAACTTACGGAGTGCAGATTGGAACACACCCTAACATTTTGGTGTACTCGGGAGAGGCTCCCATCCTGGTAGTGGGTATTGGCACACATAATGTGTGTGCAAACTGTGGACATGGTCTTTCCATGAAACCAGCTGATAGATATACAATTAGTTGTGCTTGTATGTTAGCATTTGCTTGTGTTGGATAATATACTCTCTCATTCATTTGTCATTAATTTGTCACTGTTTCTGTTTGCTTAGCACGATGAGCATTGATATATTTTTCAGAAAGGAGCCAATATTAGCATCGAAACAAAAGCATCTAACACTAATATATATATATAGTTACTGCACTAATGAAATGGGCCCTGACATCAGCATTCAAAAGTTTTAGGTCTGTCGGGCTTTAATAGAAACCTGGGGAACGATACGCACACTAAAGTTGCCAATCATATCAGATTTTTTAATCATTTGAAAGGTCATGAAAACATGTCGTTCTAGACGTCAGCATGTTTTCAATAATGTAATTGTCACTACTAGTGATTGTATTATAATTGTAACAGCTAAAATATAAAATATTCTTTCTAAACCAAATATACCCGCACTAATACAAATCTCGTTTTTCCATACGGTCAAATCCTGGTTTTCGCAGGCGATCTGCACACGAAAGTCCGCACCAAATGGTCTGCAAAAATCGTTATTTTTGCGTGCTGGTGGTGCATCCGCACACGAAAGTCCGATTTTCACGTGTGGATGTTTATGTCGCCCGCATGCAAAAATAAAAATCCCAAAAAAAAATTAGAAGCCGCCGCCGCCCTCCTCGTCGTTGCTCGAAGCCGCCGTCGCCATTATCATCGTCGTCCTCATCCTCGTCCGTGTGCGTAGGGGGCTAGGGGTGACCTAGTCCGCCGGAGCTAGAGCTAGAGCTAGAGCCAGATCCGCCGCCCCCATGCCTCCTCACCGCTGGATCCACCGCCGCCGCGCCTCCCCACTGCCCGATCCGCTACCGCCGCCGCACATCCCCACCACTGAATCCGCCGCTGCCGCGTTGGGGGAGGTCGACCGCCGTAGGATCCGCATGGGCGACGGCCGCCGCCCCTCCCCACCGCCGTATGCGCCGCCGCCGCACCTCACCATCACCAGATCCGCCGCCGCCGCACAGGGGAACGACGGCCACCGTCAGATGCACACCATCGCGTGCGTCCTCCGCCCTCCCCCGTTGCCCGAGCCTTCCACCACTGTCGGAAGGGAGGAGAGGGGAGAGGAGGACTAAGGGAGAAGAGGAGGAAGCTATCGCCGTGGCCCTTGCCCGCCACCGCCGCCACCAGAGCTAACCGCCGAGAGGGAGGAGAGGGGAGAGGAGGTGGGGGAGAGGAGGAGTGGGAAAGAGAGAGAGCTGGGAGAGGAGAGGAGTGGAGAATAAAAAAAAGAGTGGTAATCTTTCAGGAATATTTTTGCATGCGGGTGAGTTAAGAGCCCCGCATATGAAAATACCCTTATTTTTATGTGCGTGTATTTTAAGTGGTCTGTCTGAAAATGTTAATTTTTTGCATACGGATATCTTGTGGAGCCATGTGGGAAAATAAGGGTCGATTTTTGCTGACGTGGACACTTTATTTGTGTAGTTATAAGAACTAAGAATTTTAGAGATCAATCATAGCACTGTTATCCTAATGGAAATTTTAAAATATGTAGCTTTGGGATAAAGTATGTGCTAAGTATGTAGTTTTATGATACCATAGCTTAAATTTACGGTTTTGTGGTAACTTCAATATCGATTTTGTAACAGAAGGACTTAATTAAATATATAGTTTTGTTATAGTTTTTCATACCTATAGTATTGTGAAATTTATTCTAATATCGATTTTGTAACAGAAGGACTTAATTAAATATATAGTTTTGTTATAGTTTTTCATACCTATAGTATTGTGAAATTTATTCTATTCTTAAAAGAGGTTTCTAAAAGTTTTGGGAGTTTGATCGACTTGATTGATGTATCTCAGGGATGGACGGCTTCATGATTGGTGGTGGGTTATATATCAGACATCACTACAAAAGGCTCGCAGAATTTTCACTGTTCGCCGCATTTTATCTTATTGGGAACCACATATTGCAAATTGGCATCCATGCTTGCGCATCATGAATTAAGTAAAGCAATCTGCTGCCCATCACAGTCCATACTTTTGTTTAAAATGGAGGGTGGTTCACTAACTTGTATTTCCTTGCTTGGTTGTACATTATTTTACGTATATCTGAAACAGATGCTGATGAAACAAGTACGTATGTTTAATTAATAGTGACCAGACCCTTGTTTTGTTCTGGTGTATAAAATGTTAGGTCTACACACTAATAAACATGTAGTGCTTTGCAGCTAGGTCTACACTAATGTTGTGCTGAAAGTTCTGCAATGATCAGTAATATTATTCAATCACAATCACGAAACTTAAGATGAATTGCATCAGTGATCCTAAATATACCGATGTAGCAGCTACACATCAAACTTGATTACATGTAAATTTTTCCAGAACTTCTCTCTCTGGTCGAAAAAACATGTGGGCACTCAGTGGGCTAAATATAATATATATTAAATGTTAGTGTAAGTTAAAAGTAAAATAAATATGCACTCTCATTGTTCTCTTTTTATGGTTGATAAGTCATGGAAAAATGAACAAAGTAATAGAAAATAATTTATAAGATGAACTTTATATCTGTGTTTTTAGCGATTTAAAAACCAATGCTAAAGAATAAAATGTAGGATCGAATCACAACAACTAAACCAACCGGAGAGGGGTGAATGGTTGGTATACCCAAAAACCGAAAACTTTTAGCGGAAATAAAAGTTACCCTCAAATTCGACGGATCGCGGTCTGACCGAAGTTGTCCTGCCGGTCTGACCGCCTGGTTGCCGTCGGTCCGACCGAGATTGGATCTCCAGTCTGACCGCCGAGATCAGCTCCTGTCGCCTATTTCCAACGCCGGTCTGACCACAGATTATCCGCCAGTCTGACCGCCGATGTGTAGCTGGTTAGACCGCCGAAACCAAGTTAAACACAAATCGAAGAATTCTTAAAATGGATGATGACTTTATTGATTATCTCTGTGTTTACAAAGTACACCAACAGCACTCCTTACAAAAATTTCGACTAAACTCAAAACCCTAACTCAACTGTCAACTCAATTGCTCTGAAAAGCGATACCGGAAAGCCTCACGCTCCCCCTCTATTTATACCCGAGGTAGGCAGACTAAAGCCACGAACCAAACTCTTACTAGAAGTCCTAATCCCCATAGGAAACCCTCTAGTACAAGAAACAAACTTTACATAACCAATCGTACCAAATTTGGACTCCTTCCAAATTCGACTCCGCATCCCATACGCACACAATACCTCCATCGTATGCCATATGGAATATTCACCAACCACGTGCATTGAGCTCTAGCCTTAGTATCCCGCATGATCTCTAACCACCACGGACGTCGTCTTATCCCCAAGCCAACTCCCGGTCCATCACCGCAAATACTCTCCCGAGGCATCGAGTCACCTACACATGAAATAAACAAAGAAACCATATTCCGAGACTAAGCTATCTCCAACTTGACTCATTAGTAGCAAACAACAGTATTACATACGTATAGTATCCATCTAGAAGCCATAAGAATGAAACAATCACGGATATCTAAACAAACAACCCGAAACCGAAACCGACATAGAGTCGGCCGATCAGACCGCGGGCTACGCCGGTCTGACCGCGCGATACACGCCGGTCTGACCGGCAACCACTGCCCGATCTGACCGGTCACATAAAATAACAACACCTGTAATTTACCTGTAAATCCAATCATCTCCAAAACCACTTCATGAATAACTTCCAAATATCAAAACCAATAATCTCTGATGCCATTTGTCCATCATAGAAAAATAATAAAAAACACCTTTGATTTTACATAAAATATGATTATATATCTCAAAATCAATATTAAAATTAAGTTTTAAAATTTAGATTTTAGCTACGACTGTTAAGCCAAACGGCAAACGATGGAAGCCCTAGTAACACTTTTTGGGATAAATTTCCTTTTTCTCACTAATATAATTCAAACCAACCTTTGCATCAGGGTTAACAATTTGGGAACTTAATTTTTGAAATGTCATGTTTAACTATGGGTCCTGCTAGGATGTTGTACTGCGTAGGAAAAACTATATGGGTCCTGAATTTTACAAAAAAAAAAAGTTTGAATTTAAAAAAATTCGTCTAAATTTTGAAAAAAAATCATCATTTCAAATTTCGAAATTTTGGTCCCTTCCTTCAGGTATATTTATATATATATGTATTCTGAAATAGTAGTAGTAAACTGTTCTCTACACAGATATGTATTGTATCCATTGGGATAAACTTCTTTGTACTGACTACAAGTAAATTGACAGTAAATTAGTTAATACCATCTTGCGAATAATTATGTGTGCTTTTATTCTCTACCCAGGTCAAAATTTCACAACTATGAAACTGACTGCCCCACAAATAGCTGAACACCGCATGTGCAGACCCTTTAGCGATCGATGTAAAACATCCAGATCAAACTGTTTGCTACAAAAAAAGAATGGTATTAATAATGATAGTGGTGGCTGTTGTTTTCAAGTGCTGTGTGATAAGTCCATTTAGCCTACAATTTGGCAAAATAATTAATACGGTGTGCAGCATATGCTGGGAATCTTCAGGGCAATTCCAAAGTGAATCTAACACATATTGATGTTTCAAATTCCTCTTGTTTGTGACCATACTGATTGGAGCGCAGCCATCTGATAACAGCTAGGCGATATAATATAACTTGGCCACCAGATCTTGCACAAATAAGAAATATAGTTAAATTAAGGTAGAATTTCTCAATCATTTCGTTATATGGGTCAAGGTGCCATCAGAATACTAGTAACATAATAGCATTTACTACAATATACGGTTGAATTTAAAAATTTTATTGATTGTACCTCGATCTCGATGTTCAAATTGCATGTCTCTACTATTTGCACTTAGATCAGACAATGAAATACTGTATGCTTGTCGCATAGTCGTACACTTGTCGCCCAGAACAAGCTGGAGAAAATTAAAAGACCGGACAAAAGTTCTCTGTATTCAACATGTAAATTTATTCAGAGAAAAACAAGCTGGGCCTGATGCAGAACAACTTATATATATATATATGAACCCATGTGACCAGCATATATCATATAGATAGATTTACAAATAATCAAGAAAATAGGTTAGCAACAGCCATACCACTGACCCTTTTATTTTCTGAATGATCTGAAAAGCTAAGCATGGCAGGACGGCAAGGAGCTCAGAAGGCTTTTGTTTTGTGGCTTTAATTTTAATTTATTCAGCTAAAGCTGCATCGATCCCGTCGATCGGCCCTAATTCCTCCCCCCTTTGCAAATGATTCGCAGCTTTCCAAGGATCTCATCGTTGTCCCACCAACCATAGAAAAGAATCTTATTTTTACACCATTTTCTAGTTCCTGCTCCTCACTAGTGCAAACCACTCATTATTTTTTTACAACCATTTTTCTCTGATTGGCCATTTTCGTTTTGATTAGATTCTTGATTCTTTTTTTTTGCTAATAATTCGTCAATCAAATATTGGGCATGACATGTGGGCCATCTTTGTGTTTATGATGTCCACATATGTCGTAGGATGGAGATTGTAAAGAGTTGTGTTGGACTAGTTTTTATGTGATCTTTTTCTACTTGATTAATGATTACACTGGAGTATATGGGAAATAAAATAAATATTGACAAACACGACCAACCACTAAATCAATCACATAATTTTGACAGAGAAATCTACCCAATCAATGGTTGAAAGATATATATATATAACTAGAGTACAGGAGCCCCATGTATCAACCATCAAGTTTTATACGATATGACCAATAAGATCACACATACTCGAAGTATTAAGGAAAGGGAGAGTTAGAAAATCTTACACCTCATATTCGTGATAAGAGTAAAAACGATTGTCGTAAAATTTCCACCAAGAATTTATTCGCAAAAGAATATTCTAAGATGAGGAATGGACAGTGGGTGGACTTGCTATGCGGTAGCGAAACTCTACAAGCCACTTGTCAGCTACACGGACTATATATAACAGCGCAATGAGAGCCACAATGACTGACACAGCTTCGTGTACACGTAGCGATTCCATATGAATAAAAACAAGTTGTGGCCGTCCATCTTTTTCTAGAGAATTAGTTCTCGCTTTTCCATCAGCTAGGAAAGGGAATGGGAACAGAATAGACAAATGACACATAGTAATAAAGGGAGTTGCTTGTTCCACAAGGGCATCAAAAATTAACCACATAAAATTGTCCTTGATGTCCATTTCACATTTATAATAAAGTCTCATACACACATGAAATGTCCTTCTTGCCCTTTGATTAGGTCACCTAATAACAACACAAAAGAAGAGGCACAAACACTTTGGACACATGTAGAGAGACTAGAGAGAGAGAGCTTACTAGAGCTAACTTAATGAAGACTTGACACGCTAGCTATAGCTATAGTAGACTAGTAGTAGTAGTTGCAATGCATGCCCATGGTGGTGGCGTCGAGGAGCGGCGGCGGCAGCTGGGGCATCATGAAGCCGGCGGCGGCGCCGACGGCGCCGGTGGGGAAGGCGGTGGCGGCGCCCGCCATCATCATCGGGGGCGCGGCGGCGAAGGAGGAGGCCGCGGCGGCGTCGTGCAGGCACTGCGCCAGGTCGGTGAGGGAGTCGAGGCGCGCGGCGAGCTCGACGGAGCGCGCGCGGAGCAGCTCGTTCTCGGCGCGCACGGCGGCGCACCGGCGCGCCGCCTCGCGCGCGGCGAGGCCCAGGGCGCCGTTCCGGGCGCGCAGCGCCGCCACCTGCCCGGCCAGCTCGTCCAGCTGCTGCTGCTTCCGCGCCCGCGACCGCTGCGCGGACAGCCTGTTCGACTCCTTCCGCTTCCGCTTCCGCTCCTCCATCACCGCCGGCGCCACCGGCCGCCGCGCCGCCTCGCCGCCGCCGGCCACGACCTGGTCCGACCCGGCCGACGACGTCGGCGTTACAGTAGTACACACAACGCCGGGAGACGCCATCGATCTTTTTCTTTGTGTAGTAGTTGATTAATTAAGCAGACTTAATTACTTGATTAATTACTTCACTAACAATTTCTTAACAAGAGTAATTAACCAGTTGGAAATTCTTGTAGAGTGATTTGGGTTGATTATGAGAAGACGTAGAACCAGTAGAGGAAGACGACGGAGAAGGACTGAACAAGAACAGTGGATGTTATCATAAACACCAAGGTTGGAACAGCACGAGCATACACGTACACGTACGTGCAGAAAATTTCGGCAGAATCTCCCCCAGAAAAACCAAGGAAATCCAATCGAATATCGGGCAGAGTTTCTGTTCACCAAGACGACAATCCTTGGTGAAAATTTCAGCAGGGCGTCGCCCTGAAAAAGCGCTGTTCACCGGCCGAAAATTTCAGCAGAGTGTCGCCCTGAACAGCAGGATTTTGCCACCGGAAATTTGGGCGGAGTTTCACCCTGAAAAACGAGGTTTTGCACCGAAATTTCGGGCAGAGTTTTGCTTTGGAGAAAGACTAGCGTATATCAGAGCATGCAAGATGACTGCAAAGCTCGATCACGGACAGAATCTCCAGGGCACAGGGAACCAAAGGGAAGTTTGATCAAGAAAGATTCTAGGTAGGTTGGCCACACACAGTTAGGTCAACAGCAGCTAGCTGAGCTAGCAGCCAGGGCGGCGCTAGGCTGCAAGAGAGATTGAGCAAAGCAAAGCTTGGCGAGGGGGTGAAGGGAGAGGGAAAAGGGAATTGGGGTCTGGCCGAGGGGCGCAATTTATAGCCGAGAAGCCCCTGCCTTTGCTTAGGAGTTAAGTGGGGTGGCCTCCGATTCACAGCAAAAAAAAAATTAAAAATTAAAATAAAAATAAAAGATGAGGTGAGGCAAAGCTGGGTTGTGCGGTGGTGGTGGTGGTGGTGGAGGGAGAAAGGGACACCTAAGTTAAAGCGAAGTAGGAGGAGGAGGAGGAGAAAGCAAAGAAAGGGTCGTTGGAATCTCCGGCGAGGTGTCTGGGTGGGGATTCCTCCCGGGTTGGGGAGGGGCTTGCAGTGCACCGGTTTTTCTCTCTCTCTTGCTGCTTGTTTTCGTTTGCGTTTGCGTTGTCAGGGGGTGACAGCGAGAGGTGAATTGTTCGATTGATTGATTGATTGATTTTGGTTGGTCATTAGATTGGTGGTCTATGTGTCATTTCTCATGCATGGACAGTACATGTGGACTGGTTACTGGGGAAGGCCTGAGTGGCCTGGTTTGGACTACTTGCCCAAATTGGGTTTTGTTTTTATTTTTATATCCCTTTGGTTATAAGTACTGGACATTTAGGCTAAGACATGGCCATAAATTTTTTTAAAAAAAACATCAATAAATTCTCAAACACTTGTTTTAGAAAAACAAAAAAAAAGGCAAAAATTATATGATAAATTTACCTGGGAATATAATATCACAATATAATTATTCGACTCTACAAACGTATTCTAATACGAAACCGATGGACAAAGTATTATGATAGGAATACATCGGATAATTTGATTCTGATTTGCATCGACTTAACTTGTTTCAATTTTTAATTAGGTTGAAGGTTAAATAACAATGTAATTTTAAGGGCCTCTAACTAAAAGCATGTTGCCCTAAAAAAAAACTAAAAGCATGTGGAAATAACGCATTTCCACTTGCGGGTTATTCGTTAGCTGGACATGAATTGACCGTTTATTATTATTATTCTTTTTGAAATCACAATATTGTAGCACTTGTTAAACAGCCTAAAGTGAGAAAGGTTTTATAAAAAAAAAGTTGGGGACAAAAAGGGAATAAGGGATAAATTAGTAAAATCAATGATTTTTTTTAAAAAAAAGGAAACTTTTTTCTTGAAATTTGAAATATATTTTTTCAATGAATTTATATCTTGAAATTGCCGGTTTACCACTACATGCATTTTCTAAAAAAAACTTATCGCATGTCAAATTTATCTCAAAATTTCAGTGACTATGTATTTCGGCCACTCTAATATTTTTTGAACTAAAATATGTTATGTAGGGTGTACGCTTATTACTATAGGATATGAACATGGGCAAAATAGCCATTTTGAGAAAAATTAATGGCCACACTAACGGGATGGATGTATATGGGGGGTTTTGATATGGCAACGAAATAAGGTGTATACAACAGATTGAGGAAAACTCAAGGCATACATGAAAGAGATCGATTAGGTGAAAAAAATTAGGAGCATATATGGAAATTTCTCCGACATATATAGTCCTCATTAATTTCTTTTCTTTTTGGCAAGGGCGACAATAACGTTAAGGTCTCCAACTTGTTGATAGTGTAGCGTGGCTCTGCCATCTCCCGCTGAATGGAGTACCCGTCGTACGAGTTTTCTTTTTCTTTCTTAGTTTTTGTTTTTGTTTTCTTCCTTCCTTTGGCATAAGCCGCTCTGACTGATTATGTTGTGTAAAAAATCTATTTTCTTCTAATATATTTACGTGCAATCTTTTTGTGCGTTCACGAAAAAATTAAGGTCTCCAACCAGTTAACACCATGCTCACCTAACCAGGAACTAACCTCAAAATGTTTTGCCGGGCATCATTATAGTTGGTGGCTTGCTTGGCAATGCACAAAGTATTCAACAATATTGAAAGTTGAAGATTCTAACTTCTTTTTTCTTTAGTTAAAAATATAGTTAAATAATAATTGAAATTGTGACAAGTTTGTTAGATAAACCGACGGCCAGTGGCTGGTCCACTAACCTAGGAAACTGCTCGGGCTCGCAGGTGCATGGAAGTGGGCATTTACCTCCCGCCACCGGTTTTTAAGATACCAATGACTATATAGTTGGTTTTGTAGAGGCTCCATAAAAATTTTGGTTTCACTGCTTAAATCATTTTTTACACGAACATGTAATGGTGCCTACCTTGCAAGATTCCCGTATTCGATGGTCTACATACATATCTCCAGAATAAGAATCTCACTGTAGCAACAGAATAAAAGGAAAAAAAGAAAACAAAGAAGTCACCGATACGATATGCCGTTGTAGCGTCAGATTTTGTTCTTATTCTTCCCTGGAAATTTCATATCAAGTTTCGTGTGCCTCCGAAAATGAAAGCAGAATTTCCATAATACATACAAGTGACGGATCAATAATTTAACCATCGTTTTGCAAACAATCTTTGGGCGGCGGAAGAAAACCCTGTTCTGACAGCGATATCCTTCCTCAATAATGACTGCAATATTGTGGCACATCCAGACCATAGAATTGCAGTGGAGGTGATCGGCTATATACAGTGGATTTGTAATGGTACACGGACTCTGAATGATTATTGATTTTGCTCGATCCCAATAGTAACATCTGATAATTACTAAATTGCACGGACTGGATGATACAGTGTTTGTACAACCTGTCCAGGTGGATTATTCCAGTACTCCTGCAAGGAGGAAAAGAACAGCAAAAGGGAGTGAGATGTGTAGTAACTTCTAGGATATATACATCGATCCTCCTGCAAAGGAAGAAAAGAAGAATGTACTGCAAAAGGGAGTGAGATGTGTAGTAACTTCTAGGATATATACATCGATCCTCCTGCAAAGGAAGAAAAGAAGAATGTACTGCAAAAGGGAGTGAGATGTGTAGTAACTTCTAGGATACATCATATAAGCCCTCTGATTTCAAAGATTCGCTTGCAAATTGCATGGTATCAAACTCGAGCTTCGGAAGAAAATGTTTACTACTGTCGATCCATACGTACCATGGTCGTCATTTTCCTTACCTGTCGAAGTGTACAAGCTTCTAGCTGGTTCTTTTTGTTTTTGTCCTCTTGTCTGCATAGTATCGTCGTCGTGCTAGGCACTAGTGTAGCTTTACGCCCTTACTTTAGTGGGTCCAAGTGATTTGAGTGCCTTTTCACCACTAACTAGTATTAGATCACATCGATGAATCTATTCGCGACGTTAGTTTCTCCTGAACTTTTCAGTATCTTAAACAGTTCAAATTCTCGCTTCGATTTTCAAAATATAAGAATATGTTTAGTCTGATTTGGCCCATGCCGTATTATGATTTAGGCCTGTTAGACTTCGATGATCATTGGGTGAGAGTAGTTCATATGAAAAGTCTAGATAAATTTGAGCCAATTTATATAACTAGATAACTCCAATGATAATATGGGCCTGTTCGGCTGCCTGTCTACGGTGGCTGCGGCTACGCCGTGTGTGTGCGACACTGTTGGTGTTGGCTGCGCCGCAGCCACAGCATAGTCAGCCGAACAGGCCCTATGTCTTGTAAACATTTTCATATAAAATAAGAACTTGCTACGTTAACATGGGGTCCGCTCAACATGTACAGGTGGGCTAATACGGTTGTTGTCTTCCTATGTTTAAGGCACCTCGTTCTCTGTAGCGGTAAGCTAACCATCCTCTCTTCATCTCTAGCAAAGGTATTTGCTGAGGCCGTTCTGACTTATCATCGATGCCTACTGCTGCTGCATCCACCATTGCCAATCATCACTATTTATATCGTCTAACCGAGCTAGCAATAATAGTAGAGGTGTGATGCCATTGACACCCACCAACGTGTTAGCAAAATAGTATTGCTACGAGAGTTAATATCTTTTCTGAAGATCTTTTTATACTATACAAAATTGAAATTGTAATTTCGGTGTTGCGTGGAGATTGAGGAAAAGTAGGCTTGGGGAAAGACTATTAGAGCTGAAATGATTTAAGGCTACGTTCTAAACACGAGGTGAGGGTCCTCTGCAGTATTGCACGTGCAGTACTGGTCTTGGGCCCATATCTCAGTGAGCAATAATGCAGAGAATCTGAATTGTCTAAACACAAGAATTTTTTTCTGTTCTTAATTATGGAAATTGAGCAATTCATGTGAAACACCTTGAGGTCCAAACCTTCGATGAAGTAAATATTCACAGACATGGAGGACAGAATTGTGATCACCTTGTTGGCTAGCCATTTTAGGTGATGTCTCATAATAGTAGTGAGATTATATACCCACACTACATACACATTCGATGCATTTATTAAAAATTTTAGAGTGGCACTAAAATTTTACTAAAAAAGAAGATTGCCCTTTAAATTTTTTCTCCTTCCATCTCTCCCGTTCATCTTCTCCCTCCTCTTTCTTCCGAGTTTTTTTAGCATCCAGCGACTGGTACTGGTACTGGGCGGTACCAAATTCCTAGCCGCTGGATCGGACCAAATCTAATAGGTGGTAGAGTTTGGTACCGCGAGCTACCAATTCTGTCCCTGATACAGTACCGACCTGAGAACTGAGGTGGAAGGGCAAAACTGTAATTTCGCGTGCAATAGATGGATGGGAGTCAAGCGGATAGGATGGTAGGGTTCCCACCAACACCGCCTGCCTGGAGTGTGTCGACCTCATCCGTGCTGCGCCGCGAAGAACTCTGCCTTTTCCGCCCCTCGCCGCCGGGAAGTACTCATCCTCCTCGATCGGCCCCGTGACGCCGGCAAAGAGTCCTCCACCACTCGTCGGCGTCCGGAAGGACTCCTCCTCCGCTCGTCGGCACCGGGAAGGACTCCTCCTTCTCCGCCCGCCAGTGTTGGGAATGAGGACTTCAACTCTTCCACCCTGCTCACACGCCGTCGGCGCCGGGATTGAGCGCACCCTTGCTCATTTTCTCTCCCAATCCTACCCATCCCGGATTGAACGGTCGGATGAGTTTTGGTACCGCCCGGTAAGTTGCTGAACGGTAAACATGCTCCTTTCTTCCCCTTTTGGATTTGGATATGGCACTGGCAGCTTTGTC